ACTTAAAAATTCCTTAACTGGGGTAGACCAGAAAAACTACGACCAATTAAAATTAAAGAGGCGGAGAGTTTGAAATTTAAAGTAAAGGGATTGGCTAGTTAGCCCCCCTAAAATTAAAAGAGGAAAAAGAAAGGCGTGAATAGAGGGGTTGGTTGACTTTCCCCACAGGAAGTGCGATGACCGCAACGACCATGAGAAAGGTCACCAAGAAAGTTAAAAAGATTGCTAAAATAAAAAAAAGGAATAACGTTTAAAGAAAAATTAAAGCATAGGTAAAATTAGATATTAATTTGTCACTTTACATTAAGTGTAAATGTGACAGGATATTAATAAATTTGTATCATATTGCCATAAGCCTACCTACTATCACAATTACGTAAGCATCATTGATGTCAATAATAGTTTCCCAATTTTTTTATGGCTTCTCTAAACTAATATGTGCAGACATAAAGAATATGGATAAAGAACTGTTTAGATCCATGAAAGCCGATTCTAAGAACAAATGAATTTCAAGGCAAACTAAATTTTTTTTAATAGCACAGCTGATCTTCACTGTGTAATAACTCTTTAGAAGAACTGATTTTCCAAGTTATTAATTTAATAAAACTTAGAAATCCCCAAAATGCAACAGATGGCAATCCAATTATCATTTTTGTGAAAACATTTTGCATAAATCATTCTTCTCCCTTGATCTTAATTTTTTTCGTCCCATATTACACTTATTCATCAATTTTGTTACCTTTCACACTTTTTACTGAAAATTTATTTTATTGGAATTGCTGTAGTTAATTATAAAATTTAATTGCTTTTTTTTATCAATTCCTTCTACCTACATACGTTTATTAGTTAGAAAGTTTTTAATTTTAAACAGTAATACATAAATTTAATTCATTGTATGAAAATTAAATAAAATTTAATCTAGGAACTTGGTAGACATTTGTTTAGAATTGTTCATTTTTTAACTCGTTAATCAAATTTTGATTCTCTAATTAGTTATTGATTATAGCTCAATCTGTTAAAGTGCACCATAAGTTTTTAATAGTTTATTAATTCAGTTAAATTCATTTTTCTATTTAAACAATAAAGATATTAGTAATTAGTAAATTTAATTTGAGGATGTATTTCAATATCTTTAGTCTTCATTTATTGATATCTTTATTGCCAATCCAGGGGTCTGTTAAGAAGAAATTTGGGTCCGTTAACGGGCTCTTTACAATATATCTTTTCATGAAAACGGACCCTTCTCAAAATAATTTATCTTTTAATCACACCTTTCACAAATTTGTTTATCTTCATTATTGTTTTGTTAATCGAATAAACCCTTCCAGGGGGGGGGGAGACGGTTTGAGACAAACAAAGTTTCCCTCAGTTTAAATTCCAAATGACGTATTCTAAGAAAATATTTCTACTTTTACAAACATTGTGTTCGCATTCTTATTAATATTAAATCATAATTTTTTCGTAAATAAAAATAATTGATCGATTTATATTTATTCATGAAATTAATTAGTTGAATATTATGTAAATAAAAATAAATTTCTGGCAATTTTTTAAATAAAATATTATAAATTTAACAATTGTTTAAGTTTACATACTGAGTAACACATTAAAAGTGATACTTTACTAAGTTGTGTTATTTAAAATACATAAATTGAAATTATTAAAAGTGTGAGTGATTTTGTTTTCATTATTCGTCCGAAATTAATATTCTGTGTTGAGCAGTATAGGCTGAATACCAAATATTTGTATGTTGCCTCTCTAATTTAGTAACAGCAATTGTTGAGCAGAATCTTGTATCTATTTACAATTTAAAAACTTCTTGAAAAGGTTTTTAGCAATATTTGCAATAACAGGACCCTATTTACACAAATTCACAAAAGCAGAACCCTGGTTGAAAAATTCGTGACGTAACGCTTATTTTATATTCGCAAATTATGAATAGTTTTCTCACAATTTTACAGAAACAGGACCTTTCACAAAATATCTGGACAGACCCCTGCAATCATGTATGTGTGAATATCTTGCTAATATTGATTTATTGTGATTTAATTTATTTCTAGGCTGTGCAGGAATTTATATCTATTGTAAATGAATTGCGTTTACGGCAAAATGTTGGCCCATTATCGTGGAGTACAGCTGTAAAATTTTTGATGGCAAGAAAATTCGATACACACAGAGCATTGCAACTGTATGAAGCTCATGAGGTATTTTTTAATCTTAATTTTCTTGGAACTAAAATAATAAGTTCAAATTTAAATATAACCTTTTTTTTATTGTGCTAATTATTGGCCCTGATAGGGTTTTTTCTGTGTAAAAGAATTCGTAGAGATTATCTTGGATTAGTAATAGATATGATGATTCAAGATGTGTATGAGTAATTAATTGCTGCATAAGAGAGTTTTGTAAAATAATGGATTTTCAAAAAGAGTTATAAGGTTATAGTTATGCATCATGTATTTTATGCGTACCTGTGAAATATTTTTAAAATGACTTCGGCTATAGCTCAAAAAAAATAATCATAAATAGAAAGAAGAAAAAAAATGGGTTGTGTAGATTATAAGCAAATTTGTTCTACATCTATGCCTATTTTATTTTAGATTGAGCTTACGAGCAAAAGTAATAATATTTTGTTGTTTATCCGTCGTTTTTTTTTTATATTTCTCTATTTAGTTAAGTATTATCTATATTTTTAACAAACTAAAAGTTAATGAAAAAAATACTTGAGCTATAAGGAAATTATTTAAGAGCTAAAGATACATTTTCTTTCTTTATGTGTGTAAAAAAATGATTTTGCCAGAGTTCTGTTACTCTTTACTCTTCTGTCAGACTTCCTTTCTTTTGCTTACTAATTTTTTAAGAATGGAATTTGAAATAGTGTTTTTTTCTCTCTCTCAATTAGCTATCTACAGTTGAAAAGTTCTTAGGTGTTGCAAGCTAAATTGCAAGTCATAGATTGTTATTTTTTTCTCTCTCCAACTTTTTTGATCCTTTTTTCTTTTTCTTTTTTTTTTAATTGAATACATATTTTTAAGTCTTTAATTATTTGATTAAAGGACTAATTCTATTTTTCTTCTTCTTTTCTTTAGATAATTAGAAGAAAAGAAGGCCTCATCAGGTTTGACCCAAATTCTGACCCTTTAAAGTCAGAACTTGAAACTGGAAAATTCACTATTTTAGTAAGTAATTTTGAAAATTAGGAATAAGGGAATACTAATTTCATAAAATCTATATTTTAAAGTTTTTTACTTATAAGTTGAAAAAAATTGTCTAGAGTACTGTTTGAGTTTATTAATCATACAAAAATACATGTTGGAATTAAATACAAAATAGTTAACAAAATAAATTTTTAATGAATGTTGATATTGTTGTGACTCATAATACTAGGCTTTTTTTTAAAAACATATCTGAAAATAGTGAGCTCAGTAACTTTTAAAGTTTTTCTAGAGAAATAAAAGCATGCATTTTATGCTATTTTGTAAATTCTGAGCTTTAATTTAAAATAGCTAATAAAATAAATTAAAGGAATGTAAATTTTATGATTGATAATGTAAGATATATTTTGAAAGAAAATAGGGAACTCAATTACTCTTACAGCTCTTATTTGTTTAAATTATTTTATTTACTTAAAATTTTAATATCGCGTGTAACATTGCTATCATTTTTTTTGTTACTAATGAAATTTTTTTTTAATGATATGCTTAATTATGGTACAAAAATTGGCTTAAATATAATAATTCATTAAATTAAATTCTTGTTTAGTTATTACAAATTTATAATTGTCATAAAAGAAATTCTGTATGAAATGTTAATATTTATATAGTTGCTGTTAAATTTTTTAGTAAAAGAATTTTTCAGTAAGAATTTGAACAATATTATTAAATTTGCAAGTGAGAAAAACTGTGTTTTACTATCTCATTATTCAATTATTTATTTTTTTTTCTTCATAATTCTAGTACTCCAAAAATTAATTTTGGGTGTGTTTGACAACTGAACATTTTTTTTTAGAATTATAAACAGAAAACAATTTCTTAAATCTACACTTTTGTTAGAATATTTAAAATAAAAAATATGTAATTAGAATAATTTTTTTCCTTCAAAAACATATCTTTATTAATGAATTATTTATTTTATTCAAAATTTAGAGGACAAGGCAAAGTTCTTAATACTAAAAACAGTATGATTTAGATCTTGTTTTCATGTAAAGTAAACTCCCTTCCTTGTGTATTTTATTCGCTGTCAGTATTCTATACTTTGGATTTTCTCAATCATTCACTTTCTGAAGAAGGTCAAACATCAAACACAGATTCCATGAATCTGAGGCTCCTAGTGAATTTTCTTACTCTGCTTTTTTGTTCTTGTATTGGATGTTATCTATTTTTAAAACACTTTTTCAATATTGATTTTTGATACCTTAAGTATATAATTTTGTTTGTGTTTAGCAAATTCGAGTTTCTTCCAGCTCTTGGGCCATTCGAGTTGTTCTTCAAAGCTCTTTGGCAAAGAAAGGAAAAATCTCAGTTTGAGTGTCATAGAAGCAGTGCTAAGCTTTAGTTTTAAACTGTATATTATCTTGCTCAAAATAATCGTCTTGACTTTAAAATAGACTAATCGCTTGAAAAAGAATTTTCGAATGCTGAAAATATCATAATATGGCAATCATTGAGATTATTAAAAAAGTTCTCAAATTTTGCTTTTTTTTATGTGTTTAAACACAGCAGCATTGGAATAACTTTTTAAATATTAAATATGAATTGATTTTCATTTTCTCCAAACTGTTACTGTTTTTCATGCTGGCATTTTGTACCTGTCTCATAATAAACATGACAAAAGATGCACTAAACTTGATATTACAGTCACAAAAAACTGTTACAAGGTCCTAACAGTTATAAAAAAAAATAGCACATAATTCCCTGAAAAGCATTACTGCATTTTGCTAGATCTACAATTACAGTGTTTTCACTACAGCACGAGAATCTCACATATTTTTTTCTTTTTGCCCATTAAAAAATGATTAATGCCAGAAGTTTGCGCACTCTATTAATCAATTTTAAAATGTGCGTATCTTTTAAATTTCGGAAAAAATTACGTCTTCGCCATTTTGAAAAGTGTTGAGAAAAAAAAAAGAGTCCTTCATAATAAGTTGTTTAAAGTTAGCTCTATTTTTAGCTATTAATGAATTACCAAACTTCCTCTTTAATAATTTACAGCAATTTGTAAAAGTTCAAGGCTGTGAAAAATGTGCTGGAACATTTTCCGTATGATAATGCAGCAAAAATATTCAAGGGCTTAGAAATTAGAAGATGTTAAAAATGTATTATAATTAAAGAATTTTTTTTTCCAAGTCCATTCGTGTTTTTTAATTTTTAGAAATCTCACTTAACTTTGTGAAATCTCACCCTGTTTTTGAGAAAGGGTGAGAAATTCTCTCCCATTTTTTTTCTGTTATGAAAACACTGAATTACAGCATTAAATTATCTATATATGTTAGCTAAGTTCATTAGCTCATTCTAAGTGCCATTAGCTATGTGTATCCTAATTAATTATTTTTGATTTTGAGGATTTAAATAATGTTTGCCTATATTTGTTTAGCCAACAAGGGATTCTGGGGGAGCAGCTTTGGCTCTTTTCACTGCTGGCAAGCATAATCCTTTTCAAAGTTCTCATAATGTAACATTGCAAGGAGTTGTTTACCAGTTGGATGTTGCTTTGGAAAGGTATGAATATATATATTAAAAAAATTTATTTACACATTTTGAACATTTATATTTCATTATTATATAAAGTATTTTTTTAATTTAATTGAGGCTTTTTTATACAAAAATTTTGTAAGGAGATTTATTATATTTATTGTGTGCTATAATCAGCCATGAAAACATTTTACTATAAATTTATAAAGCTATAAGTACCAATTGTATTTTACTATTTAAGTATTAAACATTACAGGGGATGGAGAAAATAATGGAAACACTTCTATACTACATTTTTTCATATTTCTCAAGAAATACTTAAAGAATCATTTTATAACTTCAGAAGTGTTTAAATCATGTGATTTCTCATACTTATCAATAAAGTTTAAAGGTTTGAGGGACAGACAGTAAATTACAGACGGAAAATAGTGTTTTTGAATACCCTATGCCGAAAAATGTAGCAATGAATTTGTAACTTGTAACAATTATTTCGGTTATTATCTGTAATAATTGTACAAAATTTCATAAACCCAACCTAGTTTAAATATTTATGGAAATATGGACATTTCACAAAAAACTCTTTTTTTTCCTCAAATGTTTTTTTTTTTTTTTTTGCTATAACTTTAAAAATATTTAATAAAATTAAACAAAATTTTTAGATCAATTTAAAATTTATCACAAACTTATTCTTTTGAAATTTGAGAAAGATTTGTTGAAACTGCCCAAGTTATTAGTAATTGAAGTGATTCTTTTATACCGTGCATGCACAGAAAAATTTAAATTTGTTTTTTCTTAATTTTGTAGTGAATCATATATGGCAACTAATAAAATAAAATAAAAATTTGATTTGAATATCGTAAAAATTTTTAAAGTTTCAAGCCATTTTCTTAAGTAGTTTTTGTACTTTTTTTAAAAAAGTTTAAAATGATAAGTTCTTTTCCACAAATTTTGTTTTTTACTGTCAAGATTTATTAAAAATGTCTCCCGGGTTGTTATGGACCACCCCCCCCCATAAAAGTATCTTTTCCCAAGTTTTCTTTCCAACTAATTTGAAGCAACTTTTTTTGTAGTCCTACCCTAGTGGCAACCCTGCAATGATGTCACAAAAATACAGCTCTTTATATGGGGTGTTATAATTTTTTTAAAACTACATTGTTATGTTTCTGTTATATTTTAAATTGTAATTTTGTTTGAATAAATTAAAAATATTTATTTCATCATCAGAATTATGGTTCAAACAAATCATGATTCCCTTTAAAAAAGACTATAAATTATTAATGGTGTTTGTCTCTGATATAAATTATAAATGGTATGTGCTCTTTGGTATTTATCTCTGAGCTGAGTGTGGGTATCTATTAATAAGTTTCCTGTCTTCCTGGTATTTATTAGTATCCTATTCAATAAATACCAGTAAATGTATCCTATACATTTAACTACTCATTCTTGTTTTCAAAATTCTCAAATTATGGAAACATGCTTTTCATTGACTTTTTTTTCAATTTTTACCGAATGACATATTGAACTAGTATTATCAACTTAAAAGTTAATTACTTAATCTTTATGTAAATATTTGTTATATAATGCATATTTTTAATTTTTGAATTACTTCAGTTTTCAGACTCAAAGATGTGGGGTTGTATTCATTTATAATATGCATGATAGCAAGTATTCAAACTTTGATTATGAACTAAGTCAAAAAATGCTGACTCTATTAAAAGTGAGTAAAGCAATGTATTAAAATATGTAGTAGTATGTTTGTGTTCACAATTATTTAATTTGGTGATTTTATTTCTTTATTAAACTTTCAGTTAGAATATACATTTTCATTTCTTAGGATGGTATGAAATTTAAAACAATTACAAAAATTTTTTGAAATAGTCATTTAAGCATGATGCAGCAAAGTCTGTGTCCATTGAATATAGTGGTGTAATGCTTATAATTGGTCAGGGTTGCTACCTGGGAAAGTCAGGGAATTTTGAAATTGTTAAAAAAATCAGGTAAAATTTTGATATTGTGATCCATTGCAATTTTATGTCGTTTAATAATAGTTTATCCGCAGTTATTTATAATTTTTTCGGCTCCTTTAACATGGTTTTTCTGGTTCCTTTATTTTTAATACCATGCTGTTATGATGTTAGAATTTGGATGGTTGAGTTATCACTTTTTGATACCTTCGATTCATGGTGTTTCCATCCTAATTTTAAATCGTTTGGTGATAGTTTTTTTTTTAACACTTAGTTATTTTTTTAGCACTTTTCACATGATTTTTCAGATCCATGCTATTTTCTGATAGATATCGTAAGCCTTTTTGGCATGTTTCTTTTACTTTCTCTTTTTTTAATAAATTGATTTATTATTCTAATGTGATATTACCATCAATTTTTGGCGTGCTTTATTCCTTAAGATTCCATGGTAAATATTTATAGATTTCTTATAGTTTTTTGGCACATCGCTATAGATTTTTCAAATTCTGGTATTTTTAATGCAATGTCTTTCGATTTTGAGGTATCACTTTCTGATGTGTTCGATTTGTCCCCATTGAAATTTCATGTCATTTCGTGATAGTTTTCCCAACTTATAATTTTTTTTGCTCCTTCACATGTAGTTTTTAGAATTCCGATATTTTAAATATGATGCTATTACGATTTTCGAGTTCGAGTTAATACTTGATGCTTTTACTATGTGAGGATTCATTCTAAGTGTCATGATACAGTAGAGAACCATTTATCCGGTATCCAGATAACCGGGAAAAATTTTGCTCGATTTTCCCGCCATTTTAAACTAGAACGAAAAAAGCGCAAATTGGACTCATCCTTGAAGTTAAGTAGAGGAGAATGTAAGGAAGGGGAAAATTTTTTTCCCCGTTTACCCAGAGAAACGTCATCTCCTCCATGACCTTGAAGGCAGGGAAGGGAGGAATGTTTTAAACTCAAGGGTGTGGCATGCTGATTTGTTTTCTGCTTGATTTACGAGGGGGGTGGGGAAAATGCATTGCATGCATATCAGTGAACAGAAAAAGAAAAGAGAAAAATATATTTATTTGACATCGACTAATAAAAATAAAATCTTTTTCTTTTGAATAAATTCTCATTCTTTGGAAGAACGGTATCAATTTCAAGTTTTTCTTGGTGTGGAATCACATCTGCTGTGATTAAAAATCTTGTTTTTATCAACAAAAAAATAATATAAAAGGAGAATTGTTTATTAATTTACACATAGGATTATTTTATGAAGCAGATGGCAGTTTTGTTTTTCTGATTCCACTACGTTTGATTTTTTTTCTTTTCGCAATAAATTTCGCAGTCAATTCTTTTTATTCATAAATTTTATGATTAGGTTTTTTTTTTCTTTTTTTGAATTCCGTTGATCTTGCTTTGTTCCGGGTTTTAATATTTATGCTAGTGCTTTTTTTAACTATCGTTTCGGTTCGCTATTTTTCGAGTGTTTTTATTTAGATTAATAAGTTTTCCCTTTAATTTATCGTTTCCCCCAGTATAATTAGGTATGAAATATATTGCGTTATTTAATCATTGGTTTTGTTTATATTATTTAATTTAGGAATTGTAATTATTTTTTAAAAATAAATATGAGAATTTTGTATTTTTTAAACTTTATTTCTTGTCTAAACTTGCAAATTTTTTTATTCTTTTAAATGTTATATTTCTACCATTTTTTTTTTTTTTTAAAGTTAGGAGTACCTTTCTTTTTTCTCTTACTTTATGCATTACACTTTTTCCTTGTACTTCGGGTTCGATAAAACATCGATTATCGACACTTTTTGGTCGATCCAGAAAACCGGGAAATTCAAATATCCGGGATAGCGATGGTCCCGAGCATCCCGGATAATTGGTTCTCTACTGTATTTGGTACTAGTTTCTATTTTGGCAGTTATAATTTTTTTCAGCGTTTTCACATATTATTTTGAATTCTAATATTTTTAATATGATGTTATTATGACATTCAAATTAGAGTTATTACTCTTTGATGCATTCAATCGAGACAATTCCATAGTAACTTCACGTCATCGAATGATAATCATTTCGCCATTTTCCACTTCATGCAATGTTTTCCGAATTCGATATATCTAGCACACTATTACAACACAATAGAGAGCTATTTTTACAAATTATAACTTCGTAAACGCATCGTTTTTACAAATAAGAATTTACTGAATAGGCCAATTTTTTGGAATTTGAATTTTGTTTAAGGGCCGCTTTTTAGATTTTGCATGTTGTGATAAGGTTGCAAAACCCGGATCATCCCCTGATATCAGTTTTGAAAATTAATTTTTTTTATAATACTTCGTCAGTTGTTTTTATTTTGCATTTCTGTATTTATTACATTCAAGAATAATGAGATTTTTTTACCCTGTATGTTTCTGCCATCTTGTTTTCACTCTCAATTTAGTTAAATCTCTAATTTATTTTATTACCGAGAGTAAAATAAATTGCGCTTTTTTTTTAATATTCCGGTCTTGTTTTCAGTTCTTATCTAATTAAGTCTTTAATATATTCCCTTTCAAAAAGATTTGAAGACGATACAGCTTACTTTTTGTATCTTTGATCCTTTTGCTTTCAATTGAGTTTAATACCTATTAATTATAACATTAATTTAATATTTTAATAGATATTTTTGGAATACTTATTCTTTTTTTTTTGTGTAGACATAAATTTCAACATTAGTTTCTATTGATACACTACAAGAATTTTGTTTCGTCAAGACATAATGTTTTTTCCAGGTATTTCAAATAAATAAAATATATATATATAAAATATTAATAATAAATTTCTGCATAGTTATATATATATTTTAAATAAATCAATGTAATGTAGAAATTACAAATATATTTTGTGGTTCACAGTATATTTCAGTATATATACCGCATTGTCAACTGCATCACGTTTCATAGCATGTAATGCTGTGAAATGTGACTGGAATTTTTTGAAATATATCTGGAGAATCTGGAAATGTCAAGGAATTTTATTCTTCTATTTGTGTAGCAGCCCTGATTGGTCAACTAAGAGGTCCCTCTACAGTATTTGATTTGTCATGTCACACATATAACGAAACTTTTAAGAGAAAAGAAAATCCGTATGCTTAGAGTAAAATATATATTAAAATGATAAAAAGAAAAGTTGCAGAATATGTTGAAAGTAATTGAAATTTCTTTTGAATTGTATAAAAAATTGAATTAATATTTTTGTTGTGAAAAAGTATAGGCATTTTGATCATACAATTGATCCTACTTCACACAAATAGCTCTCTTTAGTTACTGAAAAGCTTCAAAAAATTAGTTTAAAAGCTCATAGATAAAAACATTTTGACATTGAATTTATTTGCGAAGATGCTTTAAAATCCAGAGAAAAATTTAAATTTGGGAAAGTGTATAAAAAAAAGTAATTATTTTTTATCTTTTTAATTTAAACTGCATCAAACAGTTTAGATTCCAATACCAATGTAGTTATTTATTTATTGAATTTATTATTTTTTTTGCATTTAAACAAAAAATATGAATTTTAATGAATATCCAAGAATTTTATAATCTTATTTAAGAATGATATTAGAAACAAATTTGTAGTTTGATTGTGAAATGTATTTTTGTCTTAGGGTGGCTATCCAGCTAGACTTAAAAAAGTTCTTATTGTGACAGCACCATTATGGTTCAAAGCTCCTTTTAAAATTCTTCGCTTGTTCGTCAGAGAAAAGTTACGAGACAGAGTAAGTACTGAAAAATAAAAAATTTATTTCAGGCATGTGATTCTTCCACTATTTTTCGGAATTCCGCAAAACCCGAGACTATTGATTCACTTATTTCAGTGAATCAATAACTTATACAGTAGAGAACCATTTATCCGGTATCCAGAAAACCGGGAAGAATTTCGCTTGGTTTTCCCGCTATTTAAAAGTACTATAACGATTATAAAAAAAAGCTGAAATTTGTCTCATCCTATAGTTGAGCAGAGGGAAAGGGGGGAATTCTTCTCCTCACTTGCCCAGTGGAACTTCAATTCTTCCCCTGACCTTGAAGATCATTAGATCCAGAAGGGGTAGGGAAGGGACAAATGTTTTACTTTCTCCAGTGTTTATTTTCTTTTTCTGATAAGCTGCCATCAATCAAACTTAAAGGAGTGGTAAGCTGATTTCGTTTTCTATTTGATTTACGAGGGGGTGGGGAAAATGCATTGCAGAGGCATACCAATAAATGTTCGAGTTAAGGAACTTGAAACATCTGACTAACGCCCGTATTCACCATTGACCCTAACCCTCAGTCAGAGTTCAAAACAGGTTTTATGAGAGCAATTCCAGAGTCCAAAATTTCATTTCACCGTGTGCGTAGCTGCGAGTTACTCTTACCCAGAGTTAAGTAACTTTAACCTGAAGATATTCCCGGTTAGAGTAACCGCGCATGAGCAGTAAACTAGTGTTTGTTCATTTACTTCGTTTTCTTCGTCGGTATTTTTTATATTTCTGCTCTTTTTCGTTTGATAATTTTAATTGTTTTGAATTTCGATTCTCTTTTTGTATTTTTAACCTGCAGATTTCCCCGGTTTGAGCAAACGCGGATATGAAGAAGGAAATTTTTTATTTATTTATGTTTTCAAAAATAACACTTTTCATGTTCGGTTGCTTATGTTCAATGAGGTCAATATTTTTCACTTGATGCAACTATAATTAATTTATATCCTTGCCTTGCCTTCAAAAAAATATGGCATACCATAATATTAATAAATTGAAAATATATTAATAAAAGGAAAATTAAATAACACTTTATTTTGATGTTCGGTTGCTTTTTTTATGTTTAATAAGATCATTTTTTTACTAGAAATACTATAATTAATTTATATCAAATAAATGCTTATTAATAAAATGAAAATTAAATTTTCTTGAATCAATATCTTCTACAGAAGATGCTATATATATTTCTCAAATTATTATTAGTAGTCGTTACAGCACTTAAATAATTTTTCACTCGAAAAAAAAAGTCGTGAATAATAAAGATTGCGGCTACAATAATTCAAATGAATAGTGTAAGTAAGAAGATTGTAAATAATTTATCTAACTTTTACTTATTTTTTAAAAGAAAGAAAACAATCGATTCTTGAAAGAAATATAAAATTTAAAAAGGAATATAATTCATTAAATGTTTTTAGATTTCGATAATATCTATCGAGATGATAGATCTTGCCCAAAAATAAAAATAGTTTAGAGTTGAACTTCCAAAATAATGTGCAATATTTAGATATGAAAATAACGAATGGCAGTTTAAATTTTTTTTATCCATAAAATAAAACTATTTATAAAATTAAAAACATACACATTATTTTAATTATATAATAAAAATTATGCTGAAAGAAATATTATGTAATCAATACAAATTTTGATCTGAGGAAACATTTAAAGTACACAATAATCTGCATCAAATAACTTGAATAACCATTCAGAATTTTATAACCATAAAATATTCTGGTGAACATTCGGAAAAAATAGAAACATGTGGGAGCGATTAATTGCTTAGTACTATATGAAGTTAAAATGCCCGACATATTTTTTGACATATTTTTTAATATATGACCTAGCTACTTTATGACATCTGGGGCATATACAACTGTTATATTTCCATTTACAATTAGTCCCGCAGTGGACTGATCGTTAAGACCCGGTTCCCAGTAGAACACGGAAGTCAAGCATCATTGGCTGCGGTTCGTATGCGGGTAGGTGACCACTTGGATCAGTCTACGAAGGGATCGAGGGTGCGCTGTATTGGTCCTCGTCAAACTGTTCTACTGTTAAGTGCTCAACTTCGCACGCAGGTCGTCGGGCTACCGAAGCGGGGGTGCCATCCCCTCTCCAGATGAACAAAATTGGGATGACATGTCTTCGGATCATCCCAGATAGTCGCCAATAGTCCATTGCGCAGATCTAGTGCGACTTAAATAAATTACAACTACAACCACAACCGTATACAATTATTTAAATAATTAAATTTCTAAATGTATGCTTTTTTTAAAGTTTAGGAATATTTGTTCAGATTATGACATTTGCCTTTAAAAAAAACTGTTATCGTATTCATCATATCCCGACGGTGATTCTCTCTATCATCGGCAGATGGCAGCACAACAATTTTATAACTTCTGAATAATAGGAATGAGTTGATTTATGCTTATCTGAGCTGAGAAATTTATTTTATACAATATCATTTAAAGTCTTTAAATAAAGATAATTCTTCTCAATGGTTTAAGTTATCGATAACATGTAATGAAGGGGGAAAAAAGATTAAAAATGCGAATAAGTATGAGAATGATTTTAGCATAATCCCCTTGATCGTTGAGTAAAATAAAATAATTAAATAATTATGTGGAATAAAAGTATTTTTAATTGAATTTTAGTAATATTTCTATGTTTACGTGCGGCTATATGATATCCATAATAAAAAAATATCTAAATTCATAATAAAAAATCTTAGATCTTTTTCCTCATCAATACAAGTCAGTTAAGAAAACGAAACTTACATCTTTTTCATTTAACGAATAAAAGAGTGTTTCAAATTTAATTACTCAATGCAATCTTCTTTTTTTTTTCTTTTTTCATTGAAAATTTTTTTTAAAAGTATAGCAATGAAAATTGAAAACAAAAACTGTTAATAAAGTTATAAATCTACCTCCGGAGTGGGTTTCTACTAAGGGTTTCTAATTCGTGATATCGGTTAACCACTGTAATGGGTGCGAGTTTGGAGCAGAATTTATAACGACCAGTCATCGCAGGTGAAGGTAAGCTCTCTATCACTGAGCCGCCGTGACTCATCGTAAACTAATGAAATAATCCGGATCTTCGAAAATATCCGTCATTATTGTACAATGCACCAGGCTAATGTAATGTTTTATAATGTATAAAACACTTTATAGGTTCAATAAAATAAGCCCACGCACATTTAGACTTTGAAGAAAATATATAATTCATTGCTCAATTAAGCTTATTTATTCCATGAAGTTTGCTGTAAATCCATAATAAAGACAACTTGTAATTAGCCTTACTAAATATTTATTGCAATAAGCCTGAGAAAATTCAGGCTGAATCAGTAATAATTCACACATTTCTTAATTTACCTAGAGGGATATAGGATGATTGTAATAAGCCTAAAAGTATCAAGCAGGTTAATACTAAAAACTTTTTTAATAAGCCAGGCGCATTACAAAATGCCACTTACATTTGAAAAAAATTGAATTTTTCAATTAGCCTACGACACATATAAATTTTTTACCTTATATAGAAATTGTGATATAATCCAAGAATATATAAAACATCTCATTGAAAAGAAATATTTTAAATTTATTAAAAGATATACTGAACTCCTGAATACTTTAATCGATTTTAAAATGACATTTCTTAAAATGTGAATTTTATTTTTTAAAAAAAATGCTATTTTCTAAGATTAAAATATATTAAATATCAGTAAAAAAATAAATAAGTAACATGATCAGATTTGTGTTTGTTGATAGCTAACTACTTTGCTAGCAATGCATTATTAAGGAATTAGAAAGAAATAAAGTTTAGTGTGAAGTATTTTTTAACAAAGCTAGCGGACATATATATCTGCATTTTTATTTAATAAATAAATAAAAAAAAATGCAAGAAAACAACCCTAAGCCCAACCCTCTGCTTTCTAGAGTTACGATTTATTTCAATTTATCATCATTTAATGTAACATACAATATAAATAATTCAATTGTTTAATTACAATATATAGATGCAAAACAAAATTTAAACTCACAGGTATATCTAACCAAGCAAGCTCATCGGAGGAAAAATCCTGTAAAAAAATCTCCGTTTCTTTAAAATTTTCGTTCACCATTTTTTCTTCCGTTTGAATGTTTTAGAAGTATTTGACAAATTGATTCTTAAATGAAATGAAATCGGCAGGTGGTTTTGAATCCATTATCGATAATCAACGTAAACACTGTTTTATCTCTACACGCGATAGGGCGCGCTTTTCAAATTATGCTTCCTTCCACGTGGCTTTTGTTCCGTAGTTTAAACTATTTTAATATACATCTTTGCGCAGATCTAGTGCGAC